ATTACTGTAGGCCGTGGTGCAGCTGGTGGTGCATTTTGAGATGGAGTCTTGCTCTTTTGCCCAGGCTGGAGTGCAGTGGCACGATCTCGGCTCACTGCAACCTTCGCCTCCTGGGATCAAGCAATTCTCTGCCTCAGCCTCCCGAGTAGCTGGGATTACAGGCGCCCACCACCACACCCGGCTAATTTTTTTTTGTATTTTCAGTAGAGGCAGGGTTTTGCCATCTTGGCCAGGCTCATCTTGAACTCCTGACCTCGTGATCCACCCGCCTCGGCCTCCCAAAGTGCTGGGATTACAGGGGTGAACCACTGCACCCGGCCTAGTACTTCAATTTTAATAGTAGCTGCAAAGTCCTTTTACATGAATTGAGTGGATTAGAGGTAGATTAGTGCCCTCACAGTGACATAAAGCTTGTGGGTAAATTAAAACCCCTGTACCCAACATAACTGATAATTTTAAATGTAAAATGTTTTACAATTTAGCATACAGGTATGCTAACCAATATAATGTGATAACAAACATATATTCTCAGGTTGTAAGTCAAAAGCCTTTGGAACTACTATTAAAATATACAAGCAACTTTATTTTGATATAAGAGAAAACTCTTTACCCTTTTTAACAGCCTTTGACAGAAACTCAACTTTATGATGAGAAGACATAGAAAAAGTAGAGGCTTAACTTTTCTGGAAACAAGTGTGAACATTTACTAACCTTCTCTGAAAATAAAGTGTAATGGCTTCCACAGGATTTGCTTTCCTAAAGCACCTGCATTAACAGAACCCTATTCTTTCATGATTCCCCAGCAGCATCAACTAACAAACAAGAGCCAACATTCAACTCTTTATTACATCTTTTCAATCAAAGCTGAATTTTAAAAGATGACCTTATAATTTTGTTTCTACGTTGCTCACTTGTGCACAGGCGAGGCCTAGTTTTTAGACCATTAGACAGTGATGTGCACACCACTCAGCCCCAGTCGCTAGTGAGGTCCAGGCCTTCATCAGAACAGACCTTTCAGGCACCCTCTTCTTTCCAGCTCTGGGTTCCTGGGACTCCAAATCCATGAAGTAAATGAAAAATCCACACAGCCATTTCCTGAAATCGTATCACCAAGCCATTTAGATTGCTTTATCTTGAGAGATGCAATTCCTACTTTTCTTCTGTCTGCCTCATACCCTTCTCAGGCACTTCTGAGAGGTGCTGCGTTTATTTATATACATAAAGTGTGGCATGAATAAATATTGAGGGTGTGTGTAGGTGCTCAAGGATGAAAACAGAACTCTGTTCACTTCAAAAATAGAGCCTGCTATCAAGGGGCAGTTGCCTCAGATTTCGGGTTGGTATAGGCCTATAGAGAGTTGGGGGTGGGGAGACTAGAGCAACACTGAATAAATAAGGTAGAGTGTAAGAGTAAACTTAGTTTGTTCATTTATTTATAACTGTACAGGACTATCAGAATCATCTGTATCATGGCAATGCTGATTCAATGCTATTGTTTGGGCCTGAAGGTGATAATTCTATTAAAAAAGATATTTCTAAGGTACCACCTCTAAAGTGCTCTGCTAAAAGCTCTGACAGAGGAGTGGGTGAGGTTGGGTATAAGAACAGAGATGCTGGCACAGTGCATCTGGGAAGTTTAGCTCCCAAAATTAAAACAATTTGGGCAGGATGGAAAGAAGGAATGCAACAGATGTACATGCTAATTTCTCATTTACTTTTTCAAGTCAGAGTCCCAGAGAACCAGAGACAAAGCCATTTTCAAATGGTCACAGTCCAGTTGATACATGAATTAAGATCATGCAAAGCAGAGTATGATACATACTATATGAAATAAGCTTTTGTAAGGGAGTATTACTCTCTGAAGAGGAAGTGGTATTTTAACTGGGTTAAGAAAAATTGGAGGCCGGGCGCTGTGGCCCACACCTGTAATCCCAGCACTTTGGGAGGCTGAGGCGGGTGGATCACAGGTCAGGAGTTCGAGTCCAGCCTGGCCAATATGGTGAAACCTCGTCTCTATGAAAAAAAAAAAAGAAAAAATTAGCCACACATGGTGGCAGGCACCTGTAGTCTCAGCTACTCAGGAGGCTGAGGCAGGAGAATCGCTTGAACCAGGGAGGCAGAGGTTGCAGTGAGCTAAGATCGTGCCACTGCACTCCAGCCTGGGCGACAGAGACTCCGTCTCAAAAAAAAAAAAAAAAAAGAAAGAAAAATTGGAGAATGCCAAGACAAGAATATTGTTACGTACATAGGGCATTTTTGTTTAACAAAGACACAGAAGCTGGAGTGTTGGGCCTCCGTGGAAGCTGGAGGTTTTATGGTTTACCTTTCCAGTTGCCCATAAGGAAGAGTAGTCAGAGACCAGGTTAAAGGTTGATTGGGCCCAGATTGTGGAAGGCCTTGAATGTCAGTAGAGGATCCCTGAACTTTATTCTCTAGGCAATGAGGAAGAATGAGATGGTGACAAGACGACTGTTTATCCCATGCAAGCACAACTCACTGGACACACAGTGATAGTGAACCAGGGCAGCAGCTTCATGGACGTTACTATAATACATTTGATTAACAGTCTTCTACATCCAGACTTTCAAGGAAAGATTCTAAGATATTACCTTCACCTTATAAGCATTAGAACATATTTCAAAACATATGAGGATATATCAAAACATCTGAAGATATATCTGGTATTTGCCCAACAGAGATAATTGATTCTGCAATGTGTGCCAGATTATAAGAAACATTCTTTTTAACATCTAAAAATAATGTTTGGTATTTCCTCAGATATATTTTCATTGCTGCTGCTAGCTGCCTTGGGCCTCACAATTTTCATTCTGTTTTCTGACTTTCAAGTTATCTACCGTGGAATGGAGGTAAGTGGCATTCATTTGCACATCTGGCATGACTCATGTGCATGGACCGTGTATTCAGTGTAATTCACAAGTCAATTATTACTGTGTTCTCTTTGACCACCAAATACTGTGAGGCTATTTCTATGTACTAGAAGGGCAAATAAGATATCTGGATTTCACCTACACTGGCCTCCAATGGTTTTCATTTTTATCAATACTATTGGGTACATTTATCCTGTACCTACCTGAAACATTGTGTTTGGATACTTTATTATGCTATGTTATACCAATACAATAAAATTAATGCAATAATACAATAATTTTTCAAGTACAATTTTCAAAAAAATAAACCATATCATAGAAATCCTTTATAATGTAGTTATAAAGGGAAAGAAAATATAGACTTGTAAGACAGTCATGTTTTGTCAGACATTGACTATATGAAGCTTTATATCAGTGGATATAATTTGATCCAGGATGCCCTGGGTTAAAATTTAATTCATCAAGAGGTTATTGAACTAATTCTTGGACCCAGTATTGTGAGAGAAATAAAAGAAAGAGAAGGATTGGCTCCTGACCTCCAAGTCAGATTTGCTGTGAAGATGAGACATACTGGAATGCTACCTGAGGCTATCCATACTTGGAGAGTGTGAAAACAGACAGAACTGGGAAGAACATAGAAGAAGGAGGCCTCACTGTGGACTGTGGCTGTCATGGGAGGCATTTCATGGATGACATGCAACTTGACCTGGGTCCAAAAGGATAGGCTACATTTTGCTAGGTAGGAGGTAGGGATATTCCCAACAAGAACAGCATAAGAAGCAAAGAGGACTGAAAGAGCTTTTGTCTTAGAAATGCAAATCAATGTAGGGTGGCAGAGACAGAAATCAAAAGCAAGGCTTACCCAAGCACTAGAAGACTGGCTAAAACTGAGGCCATGTGCTGTGGAGTATGAACGAGAATGAATAATAAAGGCAGGCATGGATGGATGGAGGCAGCTAGAGAAGTTTAGACTTTATGCCAAGAGCGACATGGAGTGAATGAAGCGATCTGAACAGGCTTCTCAGCAGGGCAGTGAAGACAGATTAATTAGATGATGGCAGGAAGACTACATGTGAGAGGAGAGAAGCAATTAGGAAACGAAAACCCAGTCATTCATTTATTTATCAAACACGAAGCTCCAGAGTGAGTTTGGTACTGGAGTTACAAAGATGAATAAGGTGTGGTCACTGCTCTCAAGTAGTTTAGAAGCGAGGAGAGAAAACCATTGCATAAATAAATAATTCCAGGGTCAGGCACGGTGGCTCATGCCTGTAATCCCAGCACTCTAGGAGGCCAAGGTGGGTGGATCACTTGAGGTCAGGAGTTCGAGACCAGCCTGGCCAACATGTTAAAATCCCGTCTCTACTAAAAATAGAAAAATTAGCTGGGCGTCGTGGCAGGTGTCTGTAATCCCAGCTACTCGGGAGGCTGAGGCAGGAGAATGGCTTGAACCAGGGAGGCGGAGGTTGCAGTGAGCTGAAATTGTGCCACTGCACTCCAGCCTGGGAGACAGAGCGAGACTCCATCTCAAAATTAAATAATTCAAAATCAAGTGCCTTCCAGGTCAAGGGATGGAGAAGAGTTAGTTCTCCTGGATCGGAGTGGTGGCAGCCGTGAGAAAAAGAGCCAGGTTCTCTGCTAGAATCTGACCCAACTTTTCCAAACAACCCTTTAATCCAAACCACCCTTTCCAGTTTGCTGTATTTCACAACTTGATAAAGACTGTCTCCACCTGGGGAAAAAAATGACAAAGTATTACTTTGAAATAACCAGTATCAGCATTGGGGTGAGAATTAGGGATGAGCATTTAGATAGTATGGAGGGTCAGTGGGTTTTGTTCTCAAGGGAGTTCAGTCCCACACGCAGTCAGTCATATTCTACTCTTGGGTGGGGTCTCAGAAAAAAGGCTGTGTAACTAGCCTTTGGCTATGGAGGCAGCCGTGGGAAGTTACGGCTCTCACACTTTAATTGTATTTAATGATCAGTGTGTACCCTTAAATTTTAAAAACTGGGGGGTTCATTCAACTTTCATTAAGCCATCAGATATAGGGCCAGGAGCAATCTGCATCTAGTTTCAATCAAAATATACTTATATTTCTCTGTCCTCCTTAACGAATGAATTTCAGGTAGAATTTGCTTTGGGAAAATTAGAAGTATTAACATTATTTGATGAATGATTTAATCTTATCCTTCTGTTTGAAAAGATAAAAATGAAGAGAGACATAGAGCCTCCAAAATGTCCTGTCTTATATTAGTGATTCAGGGCATATTTCTCAGTAGACACCGTTAGGCTGTCAACGCTACACAGGCCAAGAGGTCATCCATTCTCCTTCGAATTCTGGCTCTGCCATTTATTTAGCAGCTGTGGGTCCTTCAGTTGTAAAGTAATGCCCACCTCTAAGCTCAGAGAGTTATTACAAATACATAAATAATATGGTCTTTTTTCAAAGTGTAAAGTATGAAAAATGTAATAATGGTATTTGTTTTTCAACAGTTGATCCCAACCATAACATCGTGGAGGGTTTTAATTTTGGTGGTAACCCTCACCCAATTCTGTGTGACTTTCTTTGTAGAGGTAAAGTAATCTCTGTATTTTTTCTAGGAAGATAAACAAATTAAGGATCTCATTTTCAACAGGTGCTTATTTTCTAGAGCAACCACTTTGATCCCCCAGAATGACAGTTATTAAGGGTTTATTAAAATGGTACATATTCTTTTGGGGGAAAATTGTGGGGGGAATGATTTACAATTATTTGAAGTCTGCATAGAAATGCTCTTGATATCTTCACATAGAAAGCAAAACATGAATTAATTCTAATTTTCCTTCCATGAATGCACTGTATTACACTTTTCTAATATTTTCAACAATCTAGTAAAGACTAGACCAAGTGACCTTCCAACCCTAAAACTCAATGAGACTTTTTAGAGTGACGAACTGCCTACCAGAGGGTTTCCTAAGAAAGAGGAGAAGCCGTTGCTTATTTATTCTAGTCAATTCCTTTTCGTGAAGGTCTTCCCCTTACAGTGTTTCTTTGCTACTCAGTGTCACTAAATGACTTTATCCACTTAGTAAGAGGTTCAAGTACTATCTTTGTAAAAGGAGAGTTCCTTTTTGTAAAAGGGGAGTTTTGTTTTAACTCATGTGCTTTAAGACTTTTTGCAAAAGGGATCAACCAAATTTTAAAATATATATACACCTCATTATATACAGTATGTTTAAATTTTCTCATACTCTTTAACTCAGGGATTCCATTTTTGAGACTGTATGTTTTAATAACCCCAAAGAGAAAAATACTACATGTATGAAGGCACTTATAATATTATCTACAGTGGCAAAATATTACACTCAACTTAAGTGTTGTTGAGATGTTGTTTGTTTAAATAGCTGTATAACAATTTGAGGAAATGCTAAACAGTCACTAAAAATGATTATTAATCATATTGTACCTACATTCTTATAATAAAATAACATTTTTAAAAGGCTAAAGCTACATAAAAATTGTTTACCACAGAAAGTTTAGCATAAATAAAAGTGGGGTGCAAAATTTGACCAATTTCATTACTATAAATGGATAGAAATTGTGTGGTCATGTGAACAAAAGAAAACTCTCAAAAAATGAAAACCAATAACCATTTGATTTCTAGAGTTCAACACTTTATTCAACAAACTCTTATTTGACACCTTCTACATGGCAGGTGGCAGGTAGCAGGGCTAATGGTGATTTTTCTTTTCTTCATTTTGAGCACGTTACTGCTGTTATCATTTCAGTCTGAGGGTAAAATCATTCTAAGAAAATCCCTAGCCAGGACTTAACCAGGAAATGTGTGGAAAGGAAGTTTTTGGCAGATTTATGTGAACACAAGCACCCTCTTGCTTCTTAAGGGAAGAATTCCAGGACTTGGAAAAGGAGACGTAGATGCAGCAGCAATAAGCACACCTCAGAGGGAGGCCTGGGGAAAGGAGGCGGGTGTGGCGGCCAGCGGCCTGGCTGCAGGGGCACCTGTGCAATAAATTGATTGTCTTTCCCATCTGATTTTTCAGGATGCCATCCTTCAAAATCATGAGCTCTGGCTGTTGATCAAAAGAGAATTTGGATTCTCCTCTAAAAGTCAATATAGGACTTGGCAAAAGAAGCTGGCAGAAGACTCAACCTGGCCTCCCACAAACAGGACAGATTATTCAGGTGATGGCAAAAATGGATTCTACATCAACAGAGGCTATGAAAGCCATGAACAGATTCCAGAAAGAGAACTCAAATTGGGAAGCCAACCCACAGAACAGCATTTTTGGACCAGACTGTAATCAGAATTGTTGTCGTACATGCTGAACAGCATTGCTTTTCTCCCAAAATTAACACATTGTGGAGAAGTGATGATACTCTCCCCCTATCTTTCCTCTCTCCATTCAAGCACTCAAAGCATATTTTCAATGCATTAAACCTAGCAGCAAAAGACCTTAGATAGGCTTACATCATTGGTATTTAGGCACATAATTGGCAACTCATGTAATGGAAACTGGTAACTGCCTATGATCTGTTAAATATAGCAAAATTAAATTTATCGTTATTAAGCAAGCCTAGTAGGTATATTTAAAATGTGCACTAGAAATAAATTTTCTCTCAAGTTTCTGGTGAGGGTGATATATAAAAGGTAATAGTGTACAGAACATATTTGTAAAGGATGCACCCTTTCATGTGGTATTTAATGTGCATCTAATAGGATGATTTAGATAATTAAAAGATGAAATAGAACTTAAGGTTGTTTAGTAGCCTGAGAATTGTCATGCTGCAGTTACAAATATTATGAGTCCTTTTTCTAGCATTGTTTTTAAGATGAGTAATGGTTGAGTTCTGGAACAACTTTTAAGGTTAGAGCTTGAGGCCGGGCACAGTGGCTCACGCCTGTAATCCCAGCACTTTGGGAGGCTGAGGCGAGGTGGATCACTTGAGATCAGGGAGTTTGAGACCAGCCTGGACAAACATGGTGAAACGCCATCTTTACTAAAATACAAAAATTAGCTGGGCCAATGAT